GCTTGAAAATGTTCTAGTCCCTTCCATAATCTCTTAATAGAACTATTATTAGCATTAGTGAGAATAATGAGATCATCAGCATAAGCAAGATGATTAATTCTAGATTTTCCTTTATCAACATAAAGCATACTAGGATATTTATTTAAAAGCATAATCATATATCTTGAATGATAATCAAAAGGCAGAATAAATAAAAAAGGGGATAGAGAATGTCCTTCCTTAATCCCTCTAGAAGATTTGAAGAAGCCACATTTATTGCCATGAATAAGAACATAATAATAGTTATTCTCCAAATTCCTCGTGATGATACAACAAATAGCCAGCTTAATGCCTTTGGCCTGAAGAACTTTCAAAATGAATTCCTATCTAAGTGTATCGTAAGCTTTTTTAATGTCCATCTTAAAAATAATATTACCACCTTTGCCTTTTTTATCTAAATCAAGAATTAATTCTTGAGCAATAAAAGCATTTTTCTCAATAATTTTGCTTTTAATAAAAGCTGATCGTTGTTTAGAAAATAGCTTTTTGCGAAAAGGCTGAAGACCCACCACAACTTTGGAAACAATTTTAGAAATAACATTATTGAGGCTAATGGGTCTAAAAACATCCCATTTTAAACCTTCCTTATCTTTAGGAAGAACCATATTAGAAGCTTTGAAGTACCTTGGTAAATCAGTACTTTTGAAGACATCTTGCACAACACCAACAACATCCATCTTAATCACCTCCCAACAAAGCTTGTAAAAGTCTGCAGAAAAATCATTTGGTCCAGCAGATTTGTTGCCATCAAAACTGTCTAAAGCATTTTTAATTTCAGTTTCCTCAGGACTAACAACAAGCTCAAAACTTGCAGCATAAGCACAATCATCAAAAAAAGACATATCAATGTTGTCAAGGTCACTATTATCACTATTAAGCAAACTAGAATAATAATTAACCCCATTAACCTCAATGGAATTATAAGAATAAAGAAAATTACGATTGTCTTGTTTAATCTTGCTGATAGTGCTAACCATTCCTCTCTTTTTAATAAAAGCATGGAAATAGGCAGAGTTCCTATCCCCATACACAAAAAATGACCCACAACTTTCTACTTATAGAAAGCCTCCTCTATATTAATAGCATAAACAAGCTTTTTCTGGCCATCCAAGAAAGATTGGTGATCAACTAAATCATTACTATATTAATCTTCAAGCTTCCTCATATTTTCCTTAACAAACAAAACCAAAGAATGAAGATTGATAAAAATGTCCCAATTCCATCTTCTCAATTTAGAGGCCAAATTATTCTGCAAAAAACCACAATCTTTTGCCCATTTTGCCTTGGACATCAATATTCCAATTATCTTTGACAAATTGTGAAAAGAATTCATGAAGAGTCCACATATTTAAAATCCTAAATTGATAAACCCAAGGTTTATTAATCAGATTAATAGTAAGAACAATAGGAGCATGATCAGAGCACATAATAGGAAGATGCATCAACGAACTAGCAGGAAAAACAACCATCCAAGGATCATTAGCAAGAAATCTGTCAAGCTTTTCAAAAAATTTACCACAATGCCATGTGAAAGAATTGCCAATAAACCCGAGATCAAAATGACCAACATCTAACAAAACGTCATTAAAATCAGTAATAAGCCTTTGATTAGGATAATTGCCACCTTTCCTCTCGCCACGAAAAGAATGACATTGCAATCACCTCCAATAATCCAACGATCATTGCAACCAGTTTTAAGAGTACTAAGATTATCCCATAAATCCAACCGAGCAGTTTTAGAACAACCCGCATAAACACTAGTAGTAAAGAAAGAATAATTTCCAGAACTGGCCCTCAAATGAATGAATTGATTATGATTAATAATCAACTTCACATTGATAGAAAATCCAGATAACTAGATTTTATTATTAATGTGGAATGGTAATAAAATTTTATTAAAAATTTCAGAGATTTGGGTGGCATAAGTATAAAAAAAAATTATTGGTAGCCATTATAATAAATTAAACAAAAACCAAACTTTTTCAAGGCTTGGTCAATCGCTCCACCAGCTTCAATGATATAAATGAACGACACTTCTAGCATCGAGAAGCTCCACCATAAAGAAGAAGATTCCGGTGGCCTAAATTGAACATATGAGATATTGCAGGGAGAATTTCAGTGCTAGGATGAAGACGAGACGCTCCAGAGAAGGGTCTGCAGATCAACTAAAAGGATTTTGACGGAGGAGGGCCATCAATAAGTGATTCCGGCTACAAAAAGTGTTTCGACAACAAAGGAGAACAGGAAAGGGCTTACTGTAAGAGATAAAACTACAGGGAAGGACGGGTGAGGGCCTTCAAGCCGACAGGATTTTCGGCTGCAAGGAGGAGGTTTGATGAAAGGAGGAAGCTAGGTTTGTTTTATGGACTAGAGGATGAGGTTGATTCGTTCAATCAACCTAGACGAAGATGTCGTTGCAGGAAGAAGACGCCGTTTGAAGTAGTTCAGACGAGTCGCAGATGAGGTTGACGCAGATTTGTGTTGTTTGAAGTCAAGGGTTCTATGTTGTTTGAACAAATGAAGTGGCGGACGATTGACTCGGACGAAGCAACGAACATTCAAAATCGGGTTCTTTGTCGTTCGAAGCAGACGAAGCAACGGACAATAGACACCCTAACAATGTGACTGGCCCGAACTTGGTGAATGAGTCACTAATACCATGTAGAAAACTAACTTTGGGAGGAAAAAAAAATCATTCACTTATTCACATATTGGGTACATATAAAGAGAAACCACTCCCTCATAATTTATAAACTTATCAAATATATGTAGTCCAAATTAGGCAAGGAAATAGTTTTGAAATTAAAAATAAAAAAACATAAAATGGGGAGGGAATAAAACTAAGAGGTGTTTCCAAAGCTATCACCAATCAAAATTTTCCATGATTTTGTGAAGCGGTCAGCCGACCCACCATGGAGAGGAGCCGAACTTCTTAGCTTTCCACATATATTCATTAAAGTATCTAGACAAGATGATCTTTAAGCCCTCAACTATTTGTATGATTGATGGTATGAAAAATTGAACAATTTGTGAAGGGAAAGAGATATGATGGGATTTGGAATCATAGCCAATGAAATCAACAAAGGATGCAGTGAGAATAATAAATCACTAAATGATGCCTTACATGCATTGAATTTTTAGATTATAGCTACGATATCCAATTGATGAAGCGGGGAGGGAGTGGAAGGGAATAAAACTATGATAAGCCCATTGGTGGAAAGCTTGAGCAATGTTTATTATGATTATTTTGTTGGCGTCATAAAGCTCTCTGAAAGGGAGGGCTATTAAGTATTAAGTTATACCTAAACTAAAAGCCAACAAACTGTAATTTCCAGGAAGATTATCATATTACATAAGGTTATAGCATATTTATAACATTTTATCATAAAGAGGAAACAAAATTGAATGCAAACATTATATGAGAATAATTAATTGGAATAATAGTTGCAGAAAACTATTAAAATTTCCATTGCTTAGTTGAAGTTGTCAGTTATCAAATAGGTTTTCCTCCAAAAATTGAAGTTTATACTTTATCACGTGGGCTTAATGCAAGCTTGGTTACATCCATCATGTTTTATGCATTGGTCAAGAAATACAATTTCCAATTAAGCCTTGGATAAGAAATTCATGTTCTCTTCATTTTAATTCATTTCTTTGTAGAATTATCTTCTTTTTACAATGAAATTTGCCTCCAAAAATATTAAATTTTGAATAGAATTACGTGTTAAATTTCTTCTCTGTAGTTTGGCTAAACCATGTAAAGTGGATTAGTTGATTGCATTTCTTAAATAGGGTTAGCCATCCTACGTATTGTGGAGGAAATTGAATTAGCCTTGATTTGGGCTGAATTTAATTTAAAATAATAAATTCTGACATAAATTTTTATATTAAATTAATGATTGAAAAATCAGTGCATGACCAAGCAATTTTCACATAATTTTTGTTATGAATAACTGTAGAAAAACAAATATGATATATACAAATGGTCTTAGTAATAACTAATATCAATATATCACAGTTTATCACACTCAACAGTAATATTAAACACCAATATGATGATTTTGATTGACAAAAGAATAATATGAGTTTCAATATATTTATTTTATGGCAAAGAACATTCCAAAAAGATGTAATTATTTTGTTCCTTGTCCGGCGCAGTTGATGGTTTGGTCGCATGCATGAGGAGGCACATAGTGGGACATTTGACTTGTTTTATCTGGTATATGTCTATCAAGTATGTTTGGCTTATAGTAGCTTAGCGATATTTTGATCTGATTAGAAAGTATTGTGATTGCTATCATCTTCTTCATCATATTATCATAGTAATGTCGTTTGGGAAATAATATTATTTTAGCTATATCATGTTTAGTGCCATTATTTGGAAGGATTGTAAAATTAAGGGCAGTCAATACTAATTTAAGAATGTCTAGTCATTTTGCTTGAAATAGAAAAGAATTTGTTTAAAATTTTCGTTTGTAACTAGGACACTCAATACTAATTTAGAATGTTTAGTTGTTTTTCTTGAAATAGAAAAGAAGTTTCTTAAAATTTTCATTTGTCACTAATTTGAATTATGAAAAAGACCTCCATATTAGGCTGCATACTTTAAAGTATCAAGCTCTACGTTAAATTGATGGGAAGCTTTATGCATTAGGCCAGTCCTGTTTTATTATTGCAAACTCAAAATACTTGTTTATTGCATAAAATTTGGGATTCATTTTATTACATTTATAAAATGCTTGCATTTTGTGATCAGCAAGCAAAAAGAAAAAAAAAAAAAAAAACTCTAAATGCTTTTGCATTAGAATTATATAACGGAATATTGGCAGCAGTCATTGACTCTTTTGCACAACTTCTCTGGTTGCTTTGAAAGGAACCAATAAATTTGAAGTAAAATTCTGCTTTTTTTTTTTCCTTGCTTTGGATATCTCTAATATTAATGGTTAATAACATGTGTTTAGGCATCAAGATTGATGTACATGAATCTAGCATTGATCCGGCAGACAGGAATATGGAGGATATCTCCATTTCCTACAAGGAACAAACTTCTGGGTATGTTTTTATTGTCTTGTTCTGTTTTTGTCCTGTCCCCATCTTCAAAGCACTGTTTTCACTATGTTACAACTGTGTTGCAGGAATAACAAGTTCCATTCAATGTGCAGTCCACTTTAGAACGTGCATCGATATACATAAGGTTGGGTTCATCTGAGGACCGCGCATCAATATATGTCCTTACTCCAGTATGGCATAAATTGGAGAAAGCATTTAGTAATAATATCATCTTCATGTTCATTAACCTCACTCCAATTTTTTGGGTATGGAGTTAATGAACCTTCATTGTCCATTCAAATTTTTTTCAAGTGTTGTATGAATTGATAAACTTATCAAACTTTTTTACAAACTTAAAATCTAGTACCTTTAGTCTCCCCTTTTTCATACTAATATTTTAGGACTAATTATCTCCATATCATGTTAGTGTATCTTCTACGTTTTCCCTAATCAACTTAAGTCTATTTTTGCCACTTCTTCAACAGATGCTACTCATAAGTCCTTTCTATTGCATTCATAGCTTTTAATTTATCATATATTTTTCTTAAACATTCTTTTTTACGTTCTTATTTTTATCAAGCCCAACTTGTCTACAAGTAAATTCTTTATTACCCAATAGTCAAACTCATACCACATAATTGTTTCTACTGCACTTTTGTAAATATAATTTTTAAGTTTTGATAATATTATCTTATCTCTAGTTATTAAAAAACTATGCTTCAATGCACACTTTAAAGCACGGTAGTCACCACAGGCGCTAAGAGTGAATTTTAAAGCATTTGTGGTATAAAGTTTAAGCATGGTAAGCTTAATTTCTCTTGAATTTTGGCAATCTAATTCAATATTTTATTTATTTGAAAGAAAGAGAAGGAAATCAAAATAGTTAAAAAAAAGGAAAAAAAAAAAAAAAATTTAAACCCTTCATTTATCAAAAAACAAAATCCTCCTCCTGAATTTGCAAGACAAAAACTTAGGGCCCGTTTGGGGCAGCTTATAAGTGCGGGCGGCATTTTGAAAACGCCGCCATGCCGTTTGGTTCACACTTATTAAGAGATTATTTAAAAAAGCGTTTTTGAATTTCTAAAACACGTGGACCGCGGGCTGACCCCCGCGGTCCGCGTTTCGCGATTATTATTTCCGCATTAACCTTGATTGATCGCTACCCGTGACCTTGGCCTCTCCCGTGACCTTGCCTTTTTCCTTGGCCTCTCCCGCGACCTCTCTCGCTTGTTCGAAGCCGTATATTCTCCTCTCCCTCCCGTCGTAGCCGAATCTTGTCCTCGGTCTCTCGTCGAAGCTGGATCTTGTCCTCTCGCTGTCGTCGAAGTCTGATCTTCTCCTCTCGCTGTCGTCGAAGCCAGATCTTCTACCCTTGCTCCCGTCGAAGCCGGATCTACTCCTCTCGTTCTCCTCGAAGCCGGATTTTCTCCTCTCGCTGCCGTCGAAACCAGATCTTCTACTCTCGCTCCCGTCAAAGCCGGATCTTCTCGTCTCGCTCCCGTCGAAGCCGGATCTTCTCCGTTCAAAGCCGGATCTTCTCTGTTCGAAGCCGGATCTTGCGGATTTTCTTCTCGTCTCGCTATTCTGTATCCCGATCTTGCGGATCCGTTCGAAGCCGGACGCTTGTTTGGAATCCCGGTCTTGCTTTGATTGCACACCGTTGTTCTTCGAAGGTGAATATTCGATCCTGATTGCTTTGAGTTTGTATTTGGAATCTGTTTACATTCATAAAAAAATATGACAAGCCCAATTGAATATAGTTGATGAGCCAACTAACATGACAAGCCAACTATCCGGGAAATAAACTTCATCAGGTGTGGTTTTGACCTGGCTTTGTTGCATTGCCATTTTAGAATAATAGTTGGAATGGTTCTTACCAGATTTGATAAGTTTAAATAAGTTTAATTTTTTTTTATTTTATTTATAAAATATTATTGATATAGATAAGGGGATCGTTTTTAGAAAGGGTGATTGAAGTGGAAGTTAGCCGTGGAGTTAGGAGTATAGCCATGGAGTTAGGAGTATTGTGCAATTAGATATATCATGGAGGATGTTAAGTAGGATGTTTGATAAGCTTAAAGAGATGATTATATTAGATAGATGGTGAGAATCGTAACTATTGAAGAAAATAGAACAAAAAATAGGCTTGTTAGGTTAATATGGGGATAAAAGATGAATTAATATAGTTGATATATATGATTCATGTTGAATATTTAGTTTTAAGGAGTATGTGTCAAATGGGCATTAAAATTAGTTTTGTTATGCTTGCGGTTAAATTGGTTATCAACTCAAAGATTGAGCCTATTGAAGGGGGCTAACTAGTTGGTATTTCTTCACCAAGGTTTTTTCACCTATACGTTGTGGGACTTGATTCAATGTTCTCATGTGTCTTAATGACCTTTCAAACATGTGAGCTCGCCAAATCAACCATGGATCCTCTCAAATGAAAGTTTTTTTCGACATCACTATATATCATACTTGAGGTGCCCACTCAACCATATGGAACCATTGAAGTCACCCGCTTATAAACCTTTCCTAACTATGTTAGAGGACAAAAAAAACCTATGGAACTACAAATTGCATGAACTACTCGATACTAGCCAAACCTGAACTTGGCTACTGCTTATTATTGTGTATGGACCTAGTGAGAACTAATGTTTAGTTCGACATACTAGTGGTCTGACCTATTTTAACCCAAAAGCTTTTAAGAATATGGGAGAAGGCCAACCACTTGACATTTGTCATACCAACATGGTTTTCATGTATTTGTTGTGGGACTAGGTCCAATGATCTCACAGTTCTTACCATGTAGGAATTTAACCACACCTGATAAAGTTCTTCAGTGAAGTTTAAAAAATTTTTAAACTTCAGTGAAGTTTAAAAAAATAATAATAAATATTATTATTTGTGTTATGTCCTCTTTTCTATGAATGTACAGTTTGGCATTCACATTTCTCAAAGTAGATATTTCCCAAAGTAGATCTTTCCATTTACACCAGCATTTACAATTTGGCATTTAGCATTTATATTTCCCTAACTACAGTTTGTCCTCTTTTCTTTGTGTTATTCATATTTACATTTCCCAAAATAGATATTTACATTGTTCTTTTGTTTTGTGATTTTTTTGTCATGAAAAGAAACATTTTATGCTTATCCATTAATCTGACAGAACTCAATGAGTAAAGCTAGAGAGGCTGAAGAACAAATGAGACCAGTTAAAGAATGATTGGAAACTATGGAAAGAACTAAAAAGGGGATCAACAGGAATAGGATGAGATCCAGTTAAGCGCACAATAGATGCACCAGAAGAATGACTGGATGGGAAGGAAGCGCCCACGATAGTCGTGTTTTCAAGTTCACTACCAGAAACTTGAGACATGAATTTCCATACCCACGCCCGGGTAAATACTATTTGGTTGATGCTGCATATCCGTTACAAAGGGGATATCTGAAGCCCTATCCAGATACGAAGTACCACATTCCTGATTTTGAAAGATCTAGTGGTGTCACACGAGGCAAAAAAGAAGTTTTTAACAAAAGACACTCTTCATTACGCGGGGTAATTGAAAGAGCGTTCAGAGTGTGGAAGAAGAAGTGGGTCATATTACGGGATATGTCGTCCTACCCTTTTGCAAAACAAGTACAAATAGTTGTTGGCACAATGGCGCTACACAATTTCATCCGACGCCACCCTTCCAGATCGGATACGAAGTTTGCCATTTTAGAAGATGATTCAATGCAAATCCCTCATGAAGCATTTGAATATCACGTGGGACGTCCAATACATGAAGAATTTGGCTCAGAAGATGTATGCACTCGAGAGGGTGAAGGTGCATCAGAGATGACAACTTTACGAGAACAAATAACAGATGATATTCTCCGGTCATGATATCAGCAAAGGCATAATATACATTTTGCATAATATAAAGGCATAATATACATTTTTTATCATGTTAGGATGTTAATATATTCTTTTTTAATATATCCATTAGTTATGATACTAATATATTATTCTACTTAGAGAGAATTTTTTTTTTTTTTGCTTATTATGGTGTTTAAAAGTGTGTGTATAACAAGACTCGTACTTTTCACTTTTTTTTGGAAATGCAGGGATTGAAATTTTTTAACAAATTTTTTGCATTGGTAAATCTTACTCTTTTAATTTCAACATTGATCTGATTGTTAATCATATTGATTCCAATGCGAATCACTCTTTTCATCTATATGTGTGACTTCGTTGGACCCTTATTTCTATTCATACAGGTGAAACAAGATTCCTTTTTGCATAAAATAAATATCAGGATTTGTTCTCTTTTAACCATCTTACAAGCTCGGACATAGGTTATTTAATGGTTCTTATGTTTGGAGCCGATCGTATATCTTTAAGGCTTCTCCATATCCTGGCCAAGATTCTTTACAGCAAATTGTAACTTTTGGTGACATGGGAAAGGTACATTTCATTTTTCCTAGGTTTGCATCTTGATGTTGTGTTGATAGAATTTGGCAACAATAATATAATAAAAGGCTAAAGCTGACCCTAAGTACCAGGTCTTAAAATGTGCGCTATAGTTATTTTGCAATACTAAACTAAAAGATACATAGCTAAAAGATACATAGTTAAAAGTTACGCGATCGGGCTTCATACATTAGCGATCCAGGCGTCATACATACGAAACATGTCTTAAAATGTGCGCTATAGTTATTTTGTAATACTCGTGAAGTTTTCATGTATTATACATAAAAAAAAGTTGAAAGTGTAGTGCTTATGTTACCATTTTTTTTTCTTTTTTCCTGAACTGCCATATATTTTAAGCATGTCCAGCTTTTAAGATGTGATTATTTTGAAAACTGTTTGTTTGATCTACAATGGAAATTTGATATTGAATTTTCTGAACCGTTATTCACTTAAGGATAGACTTTTTTTCTTATATCTACACTTGCAGATTTGAATTCATTCTATCATTATTGTTCTTCCTGTGCATTAAAAATAAAACCACAAGGATTCGATGAACATAGCACTAGCATCTGATTAACATAAAGTTTATACGTTAAGCAAAAATAGACTTGTACTCGATTCATTGAGAAATCAATAAAAATTTTTATTTACTAACTTTTCCTTGAGTTTTTGAAATAATATTACCTTAT